AGCAGCACCAGGACACACTCCAGTGCTCCTGAGTGCCCCGATAGCTGCTGGAAGCCCCAGTGCCCGGGGATGCCTGTGCCCCCCGGCCCCAAGTCCCTTCATCTCAGCTCTCACTCCCAGAGGTTCTAACTTCCTGCAGAACTACAGCCCTCTGCCTCCACCGCCCATCCGCCACCTGCATAACCCCCGCCCCTTAATGCCAGACCCCCCCAGACATGGCACCTTTCCCCTCTGCAGGAGCTCGGGCACCTGCAGGGTCAAAAAGCCTCAGATTTGGGGCAACACAGTCACAGAGTCCCAGAATGGTTTGGGTGGGAAGGGACCTCACAGCCCATCCAGTTCCAACCCCCCTGCCATGGGCAGGGACACCCTCCACTACACCAGGTTGCCCAAAGCCCCATCCAACCTGGCCTTGAACACTGCCAGGGATGGGGCAGCCACAGCTTCTCTGGGCAACCTGTGCCAGTGCCTCACCACCCTCAGAGGGAAGAATTTCTCCCTTAGGTCTCATCTAACCCCCATCGCTCAGTGGTGCAGAGCAAGGCCGGGGGCCCAACACCCCCCTCGCCAGCACCGCTGCTCTTCCTCCTCCCAGGAAAAGGAGCAAGAAACCAACAACAGGCTTCAGACTTGGCTCAGCTATCGCAAAAAAAATAAATAGCAAAAAAGAATGAAGAGGACAGAGGCAGTTACTACTCTATCCCTTTTTATTGTCTTTAATCTATGTTGTAAAAAGATCCAGTATCACATTACAGCCACTGAAGTATCCCATTATCACACTAGTTCTGAACCATTTAGACAATAGCTTAGTCTTTTTTTTTGTCTTTTTTTTTTTTTTTTTTAAACCTGCTGGAAGGGAAAACCATACTGCCCATTATACAGGCCAAAAGAAACAAACACTGGTCAAATAATAGTGACAACCTCAAGCAAGTGAAATGAAGATGAGAAGTTCCGAGCGACCGCCGGCTGCTGGACTCCCGGGGCCCCGCGGAGTCGGGAGGCTCCCGGGGAACAGAAACACCTCCGGCCTCGGCTCCCGCTGCTGGAGTTGGCCCTCGG